AAGGGAGAGACACAGATGGTCCTCACAGGTGGCATTTAAAGCCCGTCCACAGGTGCCTCAGTGTGATGGAACCAGACATCTAGTGCCCTGGGATCCTTTCAGAAAAGGATTTTCCTCTAGCCAGTCGGCATGCTTTGACGCAGCTGGTCTGAAAGCACAGTGCTGAGTTAGTGGACACTGGAAATTAATTTCAGTTCTGGAATTCTGCAAGAGTCTGAAACTGCTTTGGGGGCCAGTCTTCTCACTCAGAGAGCTGAAGGTATGGGCGGAAGACAACAGAAAAATGGCCAAGGGAGGCAAGGCGTCCAGAAAGGGCGGAAGCCATGGGGGCCTGGCCAGAGGCGAAGGTGGACAGTGAAGGATTGTGTCAAACAGTCTCCGAAACTGACCTGCGCACTGGCTGCTTCTGAACTTCTAAGTTCCTTAATGAAAGAGGTGGAGGAGGACCCAGAAGACAGACAGAGCGAAGTGCAGATCTGGACAAGAAAGAGCAGCTGCTTCACCTTCTCCTAGGGCCACCCCCTCAGGCAAAGAGAAGCCCAGAGCCAAGCCTGAAGCGACCTGCTGCTGGAGCCAGGGCAAGCGAGTGTCACAGGGGGCAAGACAAATAAATAAACTCTTCCCGAGCGTGTGTGGAGGAGGCATGGAGGTCTGAGTTCCTGAAGGCTAATTGGAAACAGGCCCGGCCTCCCTCAAACCATGTAGAAGTCGCTGAAACCAGCTCCCTGTGAGCCATGGAGGACAGATTCAGACATTCCAGAGAGCGCGTGAGAGAAGCCACTGCCTCCCTGCAACTGGGGATTCAAGTAATACCAAAACAGCCCTGGGCAAACCCAGAGACCCCCTCCCCCCCCCCATCTCCTCTGTGTTTCATTTCCTATCCTTGATGTCTATGCCTCGGGGCTGGAGGAAAGCGGTCCCCTTCGTCTCCCCCACTTCCCCACCTCCATGACTGGGAAGGGGTGGATGGCTACTCTCCTAGGCTCCTGTGCACTGGCCCCTGGCACGGCCCCAGGGACTGGCTCTCTGGAGGGCTGTGAGGGAAGCCCAGACTCCATCCAGCTCCCGGCTGTGCTCAGGAAGAGAAGTAGGGTGTAGATGCCCAGCCGGGCTGCCAGCGCCACTTCCTCCACTTCCTAAAACACTACCTTAGCTCTCAGCCACAGCCAGGCACAGTCATGCATCTCTTCCCAGCAAATAGCTCCCAGGCCCTGCTCTTTTCTGTCCAAAGCTCTGCTTTAGGGGACCCCCATTCCTAAAAATTTGAGGGATAGCAGAGGTGCACATGCGCAGTTTGGGTAAGATTTCCCTTACTCTGTCAGCAGTCCCTTCTGATGTCTTCATGTTGTTTTGGGAACTGGAAATCCCTTAGCTGTCTCTTGGGGGTTCCTAGAATATTTCTTTTACACTTCCAATGAGCCTCCACCCAACTTTTTTTTTTTTTTTTTTTTTTTTTTTTTTTTTTTTTTTTT